TTTATTTTTAAATTTTATTTATTTATTTATTTATTTATTTATTTATGGCTGTGTTGGCTCTTCGTTACTGTGCGAGGGCTTTCTCTAGTTGCGGCAAGCGGGGGCCACTCTTCATCGCGGTGCGCCGACCTCTCACTATCGCGGCCTCTCTTGTTGCGGAGCACAGGCTCCAGACGCGCAGGCTCAGTAATTGTGGCTCACGGGGCTTAGTTGCTCCGCGGCATGTGGGATCCTCCCAGACCAGGGCTCGAACCCGTGTCCCCTGCATTGGCAGGCGGATTCCCAACCACTGCGCCACCAGGGAAGCCCCAGTGTGAACTCTTATCTTTATTCTTTGCCCTGTTGGTAGCTTACATCACACTCCGATACCTTCAAGTTCTGTGGGTAGGAAGGAGATGAATGAAGAGGACACTTCCCAGGGAAAAAAGGAATATACATGAAGGGGTTTAACTGAGAAAGATTTGGCTGTGGTTGCCTCTTCTGATTGCCACTGCTAGCTGGGGTGTGTCTCATCCTCAGAGCAAACGCTACCTCTACAGGCTTTGATTCCTTCACAGCATCTTGGCTGAAAGGTCTCCTTCCCTTTGTCCCAAGAAAGGAAATCCCTAAGGGAGAAGGCATAAGTCAATGATAATAACACCCTGCCATGCAGAATGTTTTGCTTTGGCCACGCCAAGCTGAGTTTGGGTTATCTCTATTGGTCACTTCTTTTTGTAGCAGAGTTCCCTGTGTCCCTCTGTTTTCCTGAGGTCCACCATGTTCCCAACAGACCAGAATGTCCTTTCAAGATCCTTCTGATGGCAGTTGTAATTTCCTGTCAGGGAACCTATGCAGAAAAGGTGTCCAACATGCCTTCCACTGTGAACAGTTAAACAGATTCGCGTTCGAGGCATGTTCTCATTAGGTGCAGGTTTCATTAAAAGTAATTAAGACTTGGCAAATATTCTTGTTGGATGATTAAAAGGTCATCTCCACTTCTCCTTTTGGGAGGTCATTGCCAGTTACCAAAAATGAACACCTGCCTTTACATCAACATGGCTGCTGCCTGAAACTCAGCAGCACACACCATTCCCGAAGCTGTTAAATGCCTGTCGTGACAAAAAACGTGGGGCCTTATGTTTACCTAAGTCCTGAATAAATGAGGTGGATTTTGGGACACAAATCTGATTGTTCTCCTTAGGCCAATATTAAAAACTAAGTTAGCTTACTTAGGTGTTATGTAATTTCTAAAGAATATAAAATTGAATGGCAATGAACGGTCATCTTAGCGGTATAAAAAACACACCGAAAAGAAAGTGTCTCTCAGTCTGAATCCCAATTAACGCAATTAGTGTTTTCCAGGCTCACTTTCAGGGAGTACAGATTCCCCATGAGTTCTGAATGAACCAAGAGAGCATTACAGATGACATTCACCACTGGAGGGCTGAGGAACAGGTAGCTGATTATACCAGGAGGTAGGAAGATGAGGTTATATATGATAGAAAACCCTGCTTAATACTTTAGTTTTTCCAGGTAAAGTATCCGTTAAGGAAGACATTGTATTACCCAAGCACCTTATTCCTTGGTCGGTGAACTGTATATCCAAAAACCTTCCCCTAGCTACTCTCACGCTTCTGTATGAGGGCCTGTGCTGCCTTGGAGGCTGAGAGGTGGTGATTGAACCAAACTCAGTGCAGGGCCCAGAGGTTCTTCTGAGCCTTTCAGTTGACTCTTCCTATCCCCTCTGGTCCAGACCTCTTCACAACCACCATTGCTTTCAACCTTCAGAAGTCTGCGAGGGACATGCATCGTCTTTGATTTACGTACAGATGAGGACACGGAGGCCCCAAGGTTTCAAACGACTTGCCCAAGTCACAGCTGGTCAGCTGGAGCCCTCTCGGTGGGAAGGGTAGAAGAGGGTCTGGCCTGGCATGGACCTCCCCTTCCCCGCCCC